CCTAGAGCTCTATATTCATGTTGTTTAATTGGCTATTTTTGATTCTGACTCAGCTTGTTTTTTCGACTTTCCGCCTATCTGTTGCCCTGACCTCGGACTGAATGACTTTTCTCTTGATCCTTACTGCAAGTACTTGTTGATTTGTTTTCCCGCCTAATTGACTGCCTGCTGTGGCGGCACGCGCCACCTTCCTAATCCTATTATCGCCTCATTGCTGGACTTCCTCCCCATAATTGCCGGCTTATGTCCCGTTCAGGACCTTTCAGCTGCTGTTCTTCTTGTTCCAGAAAGCTACCTTTCTCTGACGGACACAGCCTTTGTGTTTTTTTGCCTGGGGGAAAACCATCAACCCCATCTCTGTAAGCTCTGCAAAGGATTTACCAAGGCAGCTCTTAAAGCTTGTCAGCAGAGGTTGAAATATTTTCTTTGGAACAAAACACTCTCTGCTTCCCAACCTTCTGAGATGGAGTCTACTCCTACTCCATCTACTGTTCAGTCTGAATTTCGGGTTACCTCACCACCCCCTCTTCAAATTATTAAAACTGTGGACAAACCCAAGAAAAAGCCACCTACTAAGAAGTCACGTACCGATTCATCTGCTCCCACTGTGGCCAGCGATTTGAAACAAAAGAATGCAGTAGCTAAGACCAAATGAAATTCTAAGGAACATACTCTTACTGTCCCCCCTATTTCGGCGTCGGTGCCTTCACCTATTTTGGAAGATTCTTCCTGGGATCGGGAATCTTTCTCTGAGGCAGGAACTTCTTTACTACCTCGACAACAAGACCTACTGCCTGTTGATGCCGGACAGTCACCATTCACGAGCCAGCTAGCCCAGACTGTTGCTAATTCAGCTATGACCCAAGACAGCCCTGTTTTTACCGGGCGGGCATCACAAACTCCTTCATCACTGTTGAGGTCTCTGGCTTCCAATTCTCCACCCCGAAAGAAGCTAGCCAAGACCAAAAATCTGTCTCCTCCTCGACGTCCACATTTGAGACAGGAAGTAGTGATTTTGGCCAGAAAATCTTGGCACCGACATAAGCATAGGCATGATGACTATGACTCCAACGTCGAGAGGAAAAGAAAACATCAACGTTGAAGAGAAGAATCTCTATCTGACTCGGATTATAGCACAGATCGAAAGAAATCTCGGCGTCCACGTCGAAGACAGGATTATACATCTGACTCTTCTTCCACGTCGGGAGATTACAGGAGGAGAAGAAAAAGAGCTCACTATGATTATTCCTCTTCTTCTCCATCAGCTTCTCCCCCTCGCAAGCATCGACGTCAAAGACACATCGACGTAGAGAGCCACAAATCATCGGGGACGGGCCATAAAAATGGAGCTGCGACTCCTCATCAGGACAAATCGCAAGCAACTTCTAAAGGCACAACTTCTGGTCATGAACAATCATCCCAGAGGGAAACAGGGCATCCTGCCAAGAGACATTCAACTTCTGAGCAGGAGCAGCTTATTTCTTCAGGCTTCTCTTAGCAAGAGGAGGAAATTATGTCACATGCTTCATTGGAAACACCTGTGGCAGGTGAACCTCTAGAGTCTGATGCAGCGGATACTCATCCATCCTCTCCATGAGGACTTTTTGCCTTTTGTCCAGATGGTCTCCTGTATGGCCAAGACTCTTAAGATGAACACTGAGCAGTCACCTCCACAGACTGAGGATCTTATTCTTGGGGATATCAACCAAGAGAGATCCCCACCCTTGAGTTTAGCATACATACCTGCCTTACTGGACCTTATAAGGGAATACTGGCCACAACCAGCTAATTCTATACCAGTATCCCATAGAATACTGGTATCTATACCGCATCCATGGCCCTGATACCACTTTCTTGATCAAGCATCCTATACCAAATTCCTTGGTTGTGGAATCTAGCACCTCTAAATCACCTGCCAAGGGACATGTTACTCCCACAAATAGGGAAGGCAGGAAGCTGGAAGTACTTGGACGATGCATGTATTCACTAACCACCTTTGTTTTACGAGTCACCAACTATTTAGTGGCCATGGGAGCCTATCAAAGGCAACTATGGTCCCGAATACTGCCAGCCTTAGAAGTCGCTCCTGATGAAATTAAACAAATGTGTATGAATACTCATGCCGAAGCTCTTACTGTGTCGAAACATCAACGGCTAGCATCTCGACATATAGCTGATGCCACAGCCAAGAATCTGGCTTCAGTCATTACTCTGAGAAGACATGCTTGGCTCAGATCTGCAAATATTATGGAGGATATCAAGACTAGAATTGAGAACTTACCTTTCGATGCTTCGGGTCTCTTCAACGAAAAGACAGATGACAACTTGGAGAACCTGCACAAGAGTAAAAAGACAGCCAAATCTTATTCTATCCAACAGCAATCCAGATATGGCAAATTCCAGTGGCGTTCTAGATATCCTCAGCAAACTCACCAAAAATCAACATCTCAGCCCTATCATCCTTTCAAGAACCAAGGTCAAACTAGGTCATCCCAAGCCTCCTCCTCTGCTTCAAGTTTCAGGCCACAATCTAGTCAACGGAGGCAATTCTATAAACCAACAGGGAAAAAATCTAAACCGTACCTTTGACTTAATCAAAATACCATCAAGATTAACCCACACAACTCGCCTTTCTCCATACCTACCAAATTGGTTGACTATCACAAAAGACTCCTGCGTCTTAAACATTATACAATCTGGTTACCATCTGGAATTTACAGAATTACCTCCTCTGGGACAGGTCAAGCTTACATCTAGAAGAAATTCTCACCCTACTTCAAAAACAAGCTATTCAAAGGGTACCAAATTGGGACATAGCACAAAGTTTTTACTTCCACTACTTTGTGGTACCCAAGAAGGACGGAGGAATAAGACCCATCCTGGACCTAAGGGAATTGAATACTTACCTTCATCCACATTTCTGGAGGGTTACTCTGGAGTCGATCATTCACCTATTAACGAAAGGAGATTGGTTTGTTGTAGTGGATCTGAAAGACGCCTATTTTCACATCACCATTCATCCAAATCACAGAAAAAATCTCTGCCTAATTTTCCAAAACACCATTTATCAATACATTGCTCTTCCCTTTGGCCTGTCAACAGCTCCACGGACATTCACCAAATGTATGGCCCCTGTGGCAGCTCACCTATGTCTGCAGAGGATACAGGTCTATCCCTACATAGATGACTGGCTGTAACCATCCCGCCCAGCCTCCCCACTGTCCATCACTAACTAAGTCTAGATTAAGCTCAGGCATTTATGGTGGACAAATGGAACTGAGAGCTGAGGCAGGCGGAGCATGCGCTATGCAGGACAACCTAAACTTTGTTACTTTTTCCTAAAGCTCTAGAAGATTCCTAGAGGACCAGCACAGGCGCTGTTTTACCCATTTGTGTGAATTCACAGAGGTCCACTTGAAGAACCATGGTTACAGGTAAGTAATCTGTCTTTTTAAAGCCGATATCCCTGAGGGTACCGCTGAAGCTGTCCAGGCCAGAGACTTCTTGATGTCTTTTGATCTCATTGAGGGGTATCTCCACATTGCAACATAAGACTTTTACCAATGTTTCAGGTTTGCTTTCCAAATACTTTTTAAAAAGAATTTTTTTAAAAGGCTCTATCATTTGAACTGTCTTCTTAACACATGGTATACATAAAAGTGCTGGTCTCATCCAGAGTTTGGCTCAGGAAACAGAAGATTTACATATTGCCATACTTGGACAATTTGTTAAACAGCTCAACAACAGAATTGCAGATAATTACTGATATCTGGTTAAATACGGACCATCGTAAGAAGCAAGTCTTCGTGATCAATCTGAACAAGAACCATCTCAGTACAACTCAATGTCTACAGTACTTAGGGGGGCATTATCAGTATATCTTTACCTCCAGACTGGGTGAACAAATTAAACACAGTGGTTCATCTACTAGTACACAAGCAATACAATTAATGATTTTGGCTGCACTTCATAATAGTGATTGCTTTGTGTTCCCTGGACAGGGTTTTGTGGCTACCCACTCTGTTGCTACCTCGCAGAAAGACATTGCCTATTGGAATGAAATAGCGGTCCATATTCCCAGTCCAGTGATGCTATAGCTTCAGTGCTATTTTTTCACCACATTGAAAAACCTTTCCACGGTTCCTCAGAATCTTAAGTCACAATGGAGACCAGACTTAGAGGCTGTAGAAGCCATCTTGCCTTCCACATAGCTCAGGACAAGTGGTGTCCAGAAGAAGCTTTTTGTAGCACCAATTGTCTGGAGCTAAGGGTGACCCAAGTGGTATAAGGAAGGTGACCAAGCTCACTACACATTTTGTTAAAAGTACTTATACTTTAGCGGCTTCCAGGACTTGAACTCATCTACACTATCTGGAGGATTCTTTTGTTATTTTGTTAAGTACTTCTGGCTGGATCACATTACATCACCTGAAACTATCTTTGGCTGTAGAGTCTTACAGGAAGTGGTATTATTATAGTAAATTAGGTGCCAGGTTCATGGTGGGAGGTAGCCTACAAGTTGGAGCTCTTATATGTACCATGGTGAAAATGCCCTCCTCCACTGTATATTGAAGTTGCACTGATACATTCAATAATGTATTCAGTGGAAGGTGGACAATCTCCCCCATCTGTTATAACTGGTATATAGTTATACATATATATTGCTAGATGGTCTTGCACATCACATGGATAAGAGAGAATTTTTTCCTTTCCCTCTAGGGGATGCTTAGGTCTCATTCCTACTAGCATGTGGGAGGTCTTCCTTCCCCAGTAAAAAGAGACACTTGAACTAAGTCCTGGCATAACTTTCTAGGTCATCTGTTCAACAGCAGCATGAATTCAGAAAGTTCAGGAAATGAAAGCTATATTTTTCCTTTTGAGCACAATACTTGCTAATTAGCCTCTTGATGAAGGGAAAAAAAGAAGATATAACTTCTTAAAATATCCACCTGCTTTATGCATGCTACTGTTTTGAATATCCTTATTGTTTGTATCTGTAGCAAAACAAAAATACAGAAGTAGTTCCTTTCCAAAGAAGGACCCAAAAGTCAGCAGTCAGACTTAGTAAAGGTAAGAATCTCTTACACCTTTATTTTTAGTTTTAAAAGCAACATTCTGTTTGCATCTGTGCATCCTTGGATAACACAGAAGACTTTCAAGACATGAAAGCCAGGTATTAATTTGTTTGTTTAGTAGTTGTAAACACTATATTCTGATTGTTGTCCTCAGAATGGTCATAATATTTATAAACATAAAATAAATCAACACACACTTAAAATAAAGAAAAATGGACAATACTAACTGTTCAAGCTAGAGGAAGCATCTGATGTTCTTTTCCATAGGACATTTGGTATCAGATGACATTTTAACAAGAGAGAGAGCATTCCAGCGCCTTCAAGGCTGTTTTATTTATAATGGAAGTTTACATATATGGAATTCATAAGCCACGTGTAGCATCTGTTTGGTGCCAAATAATAAGAATGGTGGTATAAACCTGAAAATGTAATATGCCACTTAGAAGGTATTTGAGCTTAAGTAGATTCCATAAAAAATTCAACTCCGCATCATTAAAGGGTTCGGAGAAGATACTCATTTATTTAATGACCAATGCAAGGTTTCCTATGAAGTGGTGATCAATGTGACCAATGTTTAGTCAACAGAAAGAAGATGAGGGGTATTGTGATCCAGAAGCCTGGCTGCTCCATTTCACTCTGGGGACAGTTTGCGGCCTTACAGCAGCAGTTGGCTGTCCTACAGAATTCAAGAACAACTGCAGTATTATCCCTCAGAAAGTCAAGAGAAGCAAATAAAAAGTTAACAGCTGAGCTACACGTAGCCAAGCAAAGACTTCAGGCCAACAAACAGACAGTTCAGGTAATGGCCTTATCTGAAAAGCTAATGTTTATGTCCAAATAATCAGAGATACAGATCTAACAGTTCACATCAGGATTGAATATTACCTATGTTTTTAATCCTGATGATGATGATGATGATGATGATGATGATGATGATGATGATGATGATGATGATGATGCATGTTTCTTTTGAACATGATGCTTACATTTTGTTTGCTTTACTTCACAGAAATCATACTTGTACTTGTATTGGTTTATTTTTTTCCTCATCAGTTCTTTGCAAGACAATTAGGGACCATAACCAAGGAGTCCCCTGATGACTGCTAGCTCTATAAAGATTGCAGCAGATGAATAAGAACAAAGGTTAGATGCATAGAAACAAAGGCTCTCCTTACTCATGTGGTTTGCCATCTAATCAATCTGTCTTCTGCGCTGAAGAGGGAAGTAGTCTGTCCATTTTCTTGAGTTCAACCTTTGGATCATCACCCCAGGGGTGGGTAGAGCTTGAGCAGCCGGGAATTGATTTGATAAACAGATTGGAGGAATATTGGTATTTCAGAACAAATAATGAGGAAACATTTTTATGTGCTCCTTTACTCACAAATAGCTCCCCTTGCAAGAATTTGCTCTGTGAGCATGGGTGTCTACAGGCTGACACTGTTTGTGATGTCATGTTAGAGGCAATGCAATTGGAAACAACTCCACTTGTTTGCATTATGAGTTTCCATTAATGCCTTAATAGGATAAATATGTACGCACACTCTACACCTATTAGTAACATCTGAAACTTGCTAGAGACATCATGAAACACTTGGGTCCATTTGTGCCTGCAATGTGAGTGTAGATGCACATGTGTATCGTGCTAGTCATTTGGGGCTGAAGGTATATTTTCATTCAAACATGGGTATGCACCCATATGCAAGTTGTTGTAGATAACTGACTGCACATGGATAGAAGTGCATAGTGTGGTGGGTTCTGTTTTGAGGCAGGATAATAATATTCTTTTTCCCCTTAAATGGTTAGATAATTTTTGGTAATTCTAGGCAGCGAAATACTGACACAGTTTGTTGTCTTGCTCTCCTAACTGTAGAGTGAAAATATGATGTATTAGACAGAGAATACCAGAAAAAGGAATGCCTCCATGCCAAAGAAAAATAATTAACTGGTTGTAATAACTTGGACAAAATACATAGGTTATGCATCGCTTCTATTTCCTTCTTAGCATCTAGTTTTTTCTGCTTTCGACCAGTTATGTTCAAGGTGCTCAGTTAATGCTACCAAAGGGGAAATCTGTGCTTTCAGAAGAGACTTTGACTACTTCCCATTAAAATTAAAGAAGTATAGTCACTCACTGCAGAAACATACGTACTTTAGAGACATTGTGCTTTCTAAAGAAAAAGTGCTAAGTATGAAACTCTTCTAGGAACTTGATGTTAAACTAATCATAATGGAGAAGACCAGATATTTTTAGGTGTTACCATCTGTGACTTTTAGCCTCGTGGCCCCTGCTTGTCTTTCCCTCACAAAGGCTCACATTGTGTTTTCTTCTCGCTGCCACCAGTGGATTACTTCAATCCACAATATAAGTGACGTACGTCAGAACACTTGTCTTGTGAACAGAAAGAGAACTTATTTATTGAAGTGAAGCAGAATGAGTAATAACAGAAGTCTTTCAAATACTAAGTATACATAAGCAATTCATCAACAATTCTCTCAGTACATAGTTCTTATTGTTTGCAATATCATTGCCACCTTCTCTACCTATTTTCCTAACCAGCTCTGTCTCTCTGACTAACCGTATCTCTCTGCCTAACCAGCCCTATATCTCCTCCTTCTCCAGCCAAGCCTCCTGTAGCTGCTGACTCCGCCTCTCCAGCCATCTCATAAGTTCATGCAAATCAGCGCATGAATATGAATGGAATGAGTGATGTGGGCAATTGTCACACCATCATTATATGATGTGGTTTTATATTTATAGTTCTCCCTAGCAGTGTTGTAATGGATTTAGATGGTCCTTGACATCTGTTTATTACAAATAAGGATAAAGTAGAAGTGAAAACAAAAGGTGCTAGAATGATCCAAACAGATTTAAAATCTTAAATGTTATTATCTTTAGGAAAATATGCTTTACAATGTAATAAGTTTGTTTGATATTCATTTGATACTCATCTAGCAATTAATCATTTGCTGCTCTAACATTGTTTTTGTACCTAACTTGTGACACTGCTAAAATTGGATGCAGTACTTCAGCATTTATAGATGTTAACATAACATGCCAAGACAAGCTAACTCTATTGATTAAACTGAACAGAAGAAAGAGATTTCTTAACCAACAGTGACAGGTGTTCATGCAGCTAGTACTACATCACAATGCCCACAGACTCTGGTAGTATATGATCAGCTGTAGATTTAAGATTTAAATGTACCAGATGTTCATTTTAAGACATGTTTTACAATTCCTGCAACATGAGGATTGGTGGGCTTCTTTTGATTCCATCAATGGCTATTGTGATGTGTAGTGCGTGGGTGTGTGCGTGTGCGTGCGCGCAAAACATTCATGTAAACGTATTTATTTATTTATTTAACTTATATGCCACCCACTCTACCCAAAGATCTCTGGGCGGCTTACAACAATTAAAATACAATTAAAATACAACAAACGATAAAACTATTAAAAGACAATTAAAATACATGCTCTAAAAATTGCCATCAGGACCCACAGTTGATGTTATTTCAATTAAAAGCCTTCTGGAACAGGAAAGTTTTGACCTGGCGCCGAAATGTCATCAGCATCAGTGCCAGATGAATCTCAATTGGGAGAGCATTCCATAGTCTGGGGGCAGCTGCCGAAAAAGCCCTTTGTCTACAATCCATCCCTCTTACCTCCTTGAGGGATGGCTCTTTCAAAAGAGCCTCCTGGCTAGATCTTAACTGCCAGGTAGGCTCATATGGAAGGAGGCGGTCCTTCCGGTATCCAGGGCCCAAGCCGTTTAGGACTTTATATGTCAAAACAGGCACTTTGAATTGGGCCTGGGCAGCAACTGGTAGTCAATGTAACTTAAACAGAATCGGCTTGATGTGTTCTCTAGCAGCCCCACCACTCACCAGCCAACTCTGGACCAATTGCAGTCACCGGACGTCTTCAAAGGCAGCCCCACGTAGAGCGCATTGCAATAATCTGTACGAGATGGTACCAGTACATGTGTAACTGTCATGAGACTCCGCTCGTCCAGGTAGGGCCATAGCTAGTACATTTTTCACGGCTGAAGGAAGGCGCCCCTGACCACCAAGTCCACCTGGGCTTCCAGAGTTAGACTGGGGTCCAGGAGCACCCCCAGGCTGCGGACCCTGTCCCTTAGGGCAGTGGACCATGAACAGGGCACCTAGCTCCTGGTTGGTTTTTTAAGCACCATTTTGGCATCAGCCCAAAACCTGGTAACATGTTTTCATGGTCCAATATCTTTAACCCACCTAATTTCAAAATCAGAACACAAAGTCAGAGCTAGTTTATCATTGTTTAAAGAGACCACATATCTCAAACAACACCATGCAGGGGTACTTTAGGAAGCAGTGCAGACATTAATATCTACACCTCTAAAGCAGTGCATCCCAGTACTGGGTCCCCAGGTGTTCTTCGACTACAACTTCCAGAAAACCTCCCAGCTTCTCAGAGTTTTAGTCCAAAAACATCTAGGGACCCAAGTCGGGGAACTATTGCTCTAAAGCAGAGGTCCCCAACCCCTGGTCCGTGGCCCAGTGCCGGTCCGTGGCCTGAGCTGGACCAGGCCGTGGAGACAGACCTCCCCCTCCACCCCTGCACACACTCCCACACACATAGCCCATTTGAGCCTGTGTGCACACACCTGCGCCCATGTGAGCACTCCCCACCCCTTTGCGCATATGGACGAGTGCCCCCTGAGTGCCACGCCGCCCTTTGCACATGCGCACGAGTGAGCATGCATCCACGAGCACTGCACCGCCCTTTACAGAAGCACACGAGTGTGACCACAAGCACTCCTTCTCACATGTGCACGAGCGGAGGGGATGCCCCACCTTTCCCAGCCAGTCTGCTGGGCTAAAAAGGTTGGGGACCGCTGCACTACACCACACTGATATCTTCATTGTCTTTAGAGAACCTTGCTCCCAATTTTTCTTACTCTTGACTTCTAATATGAAATATTTGTCAGAATATCTTTCTGGATGTTAAATCCCTGTTTAATGGAATGGTGTAGTGTGAAGAGGAACCAATAAAGACAGTTAAAGCTGAAAATGAGCAGTCCCCTCAATTGTCTTGGGCGGAGAGGATCAACAACGTGTTGAGTGCTGTACCCAAGACAATCCAGCTCTTTCTGCCTGCCATGTCTCGCCTTCCTCCCTTAGGGCAGCACCGAGTGTGGATCAGGTGGAAGGAAAAGGTCTTTCGGGTCCCCGCCCTTGCCCGGTGAAGCGCTGCCTTGCACCCAGGTGGGGAGGGAGAGATGAGCCCCGTTTGTCTGTCCTGACTTCCCACCCACCTTCCCGCCTTTTGTAAGGGAAGTGCGGAAAGAAACGGGTTGGTTTAGGGTGGCGTGGCAGGATTTCTAGGGACGGGGCTGGCTCGGGTCATCCTGGGTGGGTGGGAATTCGGCAGCTTTTCTGGCTTTTCTTGATGTCCTGTTGTGGCTGGCTGGCTGTCAGGGGGGGAGAAAGTTCAACTGGCCAACTTTAAATGGCTTTGAAGGATGTTGAACTTGAGATCTTCCCCTGTCTTCTGTGTACACGGGTGTGATGTGCCTCTATGTGTAAATCCTCTGGGAGAGAAAGCTCTCAAATTGAAATGAGAGTGCTGAGGGCAAAATCCACGGGGCTGTCATAGAGGGACTTCAGCAAACGCACTGCGGAAAGTCAGCCACTCCTCTTTCTCCCTGAACCCTGAGGATCCGTTCAGTGAAGGCGAAAAGGGCAGCATGTCAGTGGCTTGAGTATAACAGTTTGCTTCAAAAAGGGGGTGGTGGGGGTGCTCCAAAAGATTTAGACTAC